CCCCCACCTATTTTTAACTTTCAAATATTTAACTATAAACAAGTTAAATGGTTGCCTGAAACATTTCTCAAATGTCAAGTGTTGACCTTTTCCGCACCCCGCGAAAATTAAAGTAGGCGTTATTCAAGCCTGAAATTAACTGAAACTTATGTCCATCGCAGAGAAAACTTAATTAAATATCGGGATTAAGGGGGAGAGGGAGGTGGAGGAAATGACGACTTTTACTTAAGTAATTCAATGTGAAATTTCAAACTAGAAATGACTTTACTTCAAGACAAATTCATGTTTATCGGGTTTGTCGCAAAGTCGCACGTTTGAGACCGTGCCATTCTGTGAAGTAGCTATAATACAATATTCGTAATCCCCCAATGACTGTAACTGTAATACCTCTGGGAGCATCCTCTGCGTTACCATGCTCACTAAGCGTACGAACCCCAATTCAAGTTATTATTGCATTTATAAAAACTTTTTACAAATCGCATGTCATGCTAATCACGACGAAACTAATTATGCGGATTACTTTTCATTTTCAATTTCAACAAAAGTCGGATTTAAAAAAAAATACAAAAACTGTTAACCGACTACAATTTTATTATTCAATTAACTATATTGGACGGTGATATGTTAGGCATAATCTTTTAATTAAACTGATTATGTTTGGTAATCCATTACAAGCGTTGAGCTTATGTGGTTGTTTTAATATAGATTTGATCCTTAGCGAAAGCTCGCATTACATTGTTTGATGTTGCATTATCAAATTAGTTCTTAATAAAGCCGGACTTTTTCAGTTTAAACTCACAGAGGGTTCATTCCAAATGAACTTTAAAAAGTGAAAATAAAATAAATCATCAAACTCTGGGATTCACGAACATTATTTAGCACAGTTTCGCTGCAAAAGATGAATTTACTGAAATAATTGAGAAAATTGTCAGAAATTTTACGAAAGATAATAAAGTTTTATGTCACTCTTTTACAATGTTGTATTAAAGACTATTTAGCAAAAAATGTGTCGTTGTAAGAAATTATTAAAAGTGTCTTTTTCTGACATTTTTGATTTCTATTCATCATTTTTATCCCGGTAAATTACACAAGTGCACTAAAGTACGAAAACAAACCATTTTTTTTAATCATTTACTTTCAGAAAATAATAACTAATAAAAATTAGAGTGTATTGAGGCATCACGGTTTCGCTTAAGCATCATCAGAGGCTGCTTTTTTGGTTTTACAAAATTAGTCAAAAATCAAAAAAACAGCCACTGATGGTGCTTATAAATAAGCGAAACTGGTTAGGCCCATAAAAACGACGACGACTTTGCTTGTGAAATATTTTATATCTGATATATTTTATTAGCATTTTTGGTCAAACAATCATCAACTAAAAATTAAAGTGCTATAAATATTATTTTGTTTTTGATTTATGCGATTTTTTTCCACAATAGCAACTTATATTAAAAAAAATATAAAAATAAAATAAAATGTGTTTTATGTCATATAAAATGTGTGAGTTTTTAATTCTGACATCATGATTTTGTTATAAAAAAGGTTTTATAGTGAATTGTCATTTAAAAAAATTAATCTGTTATTTTAGAAAAACGATCACTCAAATCATACACATCTGAGATTGGCTTTTCAAAATCTGTTACATTGTTTTAAAAAAATAGGCACAGCAAAGAGTTTTCTCATATAGAAAAAAATAAAAGTGTAACAATTTCGCTTTTTTTTTGTTGAAAATACGGCCGAATTTCATTAGCAATGTAAACTTTAGGATAAAGACTTTTTTTGAGATCTACTAATACCTGTTAAAATATTTGCACATAAAATCTACTACAGAAATTATTTAATTAATTAATGATTTAATATTGCGAAGCGAATAGTTTTAATTTTGTTAATTAAGACGGTAAATATTTTATAAAAAAGATAAGCAAAAGAGGAGTTAAGGTTTTGAAGAATTTTTTTAGAAAATATAACAAATAGTCTTTTTTATACAGGATGTCAGAACTCGCGCTCCAGAAAAAAAATTTCAAGGAAGATACCAGGAACATGAAAACAATGTTTAAAAAATTTTATCTCTCAAAATTTTTTTATATTTACTCGTATTTTTAGACATTTGACATTTTTTAATATAAAATATGGAACTAAGCAGTTTTTTTTTAATTATTTGCRTCCAGAAAATAATACATAATGTAAATCAAGTATTTAACATAAAAAATATGAACGTATTTTAAAAACGAAATTTTGTTTTGTTTTTGAG